TGTTGTTGTTGTCAGGTGCCATCGAGTCGGAACCGACTTATAGATGTGTCAGTGTCCAATAAATTTTAGAGGTTAGTCCCTTGTCTGATGTGTCGTTGCAAAAGATTTTTTCCCAGTCTGTGGGTCCCTTTTTATTCTTCTGATGTACATTAATTTCTAATTTTTAATATATACCAGTCATGTAATTTTTTTTCTCTTGTTTGTGTGCTTTTTGCCATGTTTAATAGTCTATGTATGCTATATATTACAGTCTGTAAGTTTGTCTCTATTTTTTCATTGATAATCTTTATAGTTTGCCCCAGCAAACTATACATTTAGATCTTTAATCCATGTTGAGCTAGTTTTCATATATGGTGTTAGGTGTAAGTCTTGTTTCATTCTTTTGCAAATCAATTTCCAGTTTTGTCAACACCATTTGTTGAAGAAACCATCCAATGTATTTTGGCTTTCTGTCAAAGATCAGCTGTCTGTATGGGGATGGATTTACTTCAGGGTTCTCAATTCTGTTTCATTGATCTGTGTGTCTTTCATTGTACCAATACTAGGCTGTTTTGACCACTGTGGTCCTGTAGTAATTCTTGAAGTCTAGCAGTGTGAGTCCTCTCACTTTGCTCTTCTTCTTAAGCAGTGCTTTGCTTATCCATTGTCTCTTTCCCTTTCAAATAGTTTGTGATCGTTTCTTACATCTCTTCAAAACAAGTTGTTGGAATCTGGATTGGAATTGCATTATACCTGTAGATTGCTATGGGTATTGACATTTTCACAATGTTAAGTCTTCCTATCCATGAATATGGCACATTCTTCCATTTTTATAATCTCTTTTGTTTTCTTGTAGTAGTGTTTTATAGTTTTCTTTATATAAGTCTTTTTTTTCTCCGGTTAGATTTATTCCTAAATACTTCATTCTTTGGGTGGCTATTGTAAATGGTATTGTTTTCCTTATTTCCTTTTCAGCACTTTCTTCACTAGTATATAGGAATCCAACTGATATTTGTATATTGATCTTGTATCTTGACACTTGGCTGAATTTCCCAATGATTTCCAGTAGTTTTTTTTTTTTTTTTTTTTGCTTACTTAATCTTTGAGTTTTTTCTATATATAGGACCATATTGCCTGCAAATAGAGAAATTTTTACTTCTTCTTTGCCAATTTGGATACCTTTAGTCTCCCTTTCTTGACTTATAGCTCTGGCTAAGACTTCTAACACAATGTTGAATAGGAGTGGTGATAACAGCCATATTTGTCTGGTTCCTGTCCATTGAGAATGATGTTGGCTGTTGGTTTTGTATATATACTCTTAATTATGTTGAGAAACTTTCCTTCAATTTCTGCTTTGTTTAGTGCTCTTATCAGGAATGGGTGCTGGATTTTGTCAAATGCCTTTTCTGTATCTATTGATAGAATCATGTGGGTTCTGTCATTTTAAAAAATGTATGCAGTGAATTACGTTGATTGTTTTTCTAATATTGAACCATCCTTGCATTCCTGGTATGAATCTCACTCGGTCATAATGTATTATTTTTTTAAAATATGTTATTGAATTCTATTGGCTAGGATGTTGTTGAGAATTTTTGCATCTATGTTCATGAGGGATACTGATGTCCTTTCTAGTGATGTCCTTCCCTGGTTTTGGTATGAGGGTTATGCTTGCTTCATAAAATGCAATAGGAAGTTTACTATTCTTTTCTATATTCTGGAATAGTTTGAGTAGAATTGGTGTCATCTCTTCTCTGAATGTTTGGCAAAATTCACCAGTGAAGCCATCTGGGATTGGACTTTTTTTGATTGGGAGGATTTTATTTTTTTTTATAACAAATGTGACACCATTCTTCTTCAATTTGTCATTCCTGGCATAGAAACCATGTGATTGTCAGATCCAAAATGGCCAATATCAGTCCATCTCAGCTCACTAATACCTAGGATATTAATGTTTAGGTGTTCTATTTCATACTTGACTACTTCCAATTTTTCTAGATTCATACTTCGTACAGTCCATGTTCGAATTATTAATGGATGTTTACAGCTGTTTCTCTTCATTTTGAGTTGTGCCCTATTAGCAAATGAAGGTTCCAAAGTCTTTACTCCATTCACATCATCACAGTCAACTCTACTTTGAGGAGGCAGCTCCTCCCCAGTCACATTTTGAGTGCCTTCCAACCTCAGGGGCTCATTGTCCGACACTATATCTGACAATGTTCTGGCACTCTTCATCATGTTTCAATATTTAATATTCTGGAGCTGACAGTGTTCTCCTATTCATAAGGTTTTCAGTGACTAAATATTTAGAAATAGTTCGTCTCTCCTTCTTCCTAGTCTGTTTTCATCTGGAAGCTCAGCTGAAACCTGTCCATTGTGGGTGACCCTGCTAGTATTTAAAATACCTGTGGCACAGGTTCCAGAATTACAGCAACACACAAGCCACCACAATACGACAAACTGACAGATGAGTGGTGGTATATATATCTTCCATATGGAGTCCTGGTGTGGCTCTGTGGGTTAATGCAATGGACTGAAAAGTTGTTCCTAGGAAACCCTATACAGGGTCGCTATGGGAACCGACTCAATGGCACTGAACAACAATTTTATATATATTCCATATATATAAGAAGCTCTGGAGTCCTGGTGTGGTGCTGTGGGCTAATGTGTCAGACTGCAAAGTCTTTTGAACTGCGAGGTTGGTGGTTCAAGCTAACCAGCTGCTCCTTGGAAACCCTATACAGGGTTGCTATGGGTCGGAATTGACTCGATGGCACTTAACAACAACAAAGGAGCTCTGGTAGTGTAGTGGTTATGAATCGGGCTGCTAATCTCAAGGTCAGCTAGTTCAAAACTACCAGCGGTTCCATGGGAGAAAGATGAAACTTTCTGCTCCAGTAAAGATTTACAGCCTCGGAAACCCTATGCAGGTTCTCTATGAGTCAGAACCGACTCCACAGCACAGCACCATCATCATGTATATTCCATATATGGAATCCTGGTGGTGCATGCTGGTTAGGTGTTGGGTGGCTAACTACAAGGTTGGCTGTTTACACCTACAAGCTGCTCCTAGGACAAAAGATGAGGCTGTTTCAATAAGATTTATAGTCTCAGAAACCTTAAGGATCAATTCTATTCTGTCCTATAGAGTTGGAATCAACTCAATGGCAGTGGGTTATATATATACATATATGTATAAGCTTCAATGGTTTTGCTTCTCTAGAGAAGGAAGGATGAAAGAAGATGTTTTTAGGGAGTAGCCAACTTCTTGCTCCATAACACTGAATAGGTGGGTAGCACACTTCAGAGGGTCTGGGAATGACAGCCAGAGCCCAGCCTGCACCCAGAAGAGAGACAGACCCCAGCACTCACCCCTTTGGTGGACTCCAAGGTTCCCACAGCCAGTGCATCCCGGCCACTCCTGCCCTTGCCACTGAGATGCGGGGAGGAGGAGGGTGAGTCATCGATGTAGGGCAGCCCATCCTGGTGTCGCCGCTCCTCCTCGGCCCGGTCAGCAGCGCAGCTGTAGCCGGGGGGCGTCCCAAACGTGGCATCTATAGGGGCAAAGAAGCACTAGAGTCAGAGGGAGCCCATCAACCCGCCTAGCAAAGCAAGACTCTTACTGCCACCATTAAATGAACCACAACCCTCTGTGCCCCCGACCCAGTGAAGCAGGGTTTGTCCCCCAAATAATGCAAGACTTGGCTTTTGAATACATGGGAGCTTCAAAAGTTCATGGAAAAATTCCATTATTTTTTAATTCCATTTTCCCACCAATTTTTTTTGAAGCTGTTTTCTTCTCCAAGGGGGCCCAAGTTGTTAAGAAACACCTTCCTCCTCTCCTCCCACTAAAACCCCAACTCATAGCAACCTTACAGGACGGAGCAGAACTTCTCCATAGGGTTTCTGAGGCTGTCAATCTTTACAGAAGCAGACTGCCAGGTCCTTTCTCCCATAAAGCTGTTGGTGGGTTTGAACTGCTGACTGTTCAGTTAGCAGCTTAGTGATTAACCACTGCTCTGCCAGAGAGCCTAAAGAGCTTATACAAAGAAAGTTGGCTCTGACTGTACCAGAGGGCTCCAAGGCTGTCACTCTTTACAGGAGCAGAGAGCCTCATCTTTCTGCTGCAGAGCAGTTGGTGAGTTTATACAGCTGACCTTATAGTTAGCAGCCCAACAGCTAACTCACTACACTACCAGTTCCTCCAACAATAGCCACACAGTAATGCCTGTGTGTTACAGGCTACAGAAGACAACCACTGTCTTCCCTTCAGCCCCTGGCTATCCTATAGTCCCTGTGGCACCCTTGTTGTGGATATCAACCCCACCTGGGTCAGCCCACTTCACGACCCACAGGAAGGTTGCCTCTACGCCCCCAGGCCCTGGAGCTTCCAAGAGGTCCTCCTGACTCAGGTGATCATTTCCACCAAGATACGCTTGCAAGCAGCCCTGCCCACACCTGCTCGCCTACACCCACTGCCTGTAGAGGTGATGCCCAGGGGCCCCAAGCCAGGTGGGCACAGGGCCTGACACCAGGCATCCTTGTGGTCTCTGGAGTCTGACAACAATCTCACAGAGGCCCATATTCAGTTCTTCCCACGTGGGCAGCAGAAGGAGCTGCCTCTGGTTAGAGGTAACCACAGGTGGCCAAGGCCCAGCTTCCTCATGCTTTCTGCCTCTCCCAGTTTCCCTACCTCCACATCACCCAGGACAGAGTGCTTGCTAACAGGTGCTCTATGTAATACTCAGGGAGCCTCAAAAACATGTGTTCAATTCCAAAGCAGATTTGGGAGCGGCCCAGGCCAGGGCAAGCTCCCCAGGGGACTCTCAGGAGCAGCCAGGGCTGACACCTGCTGGGGTTTGGGGCCATGCCAGTAGCCATCCTAGCTGTAGGAGAGTCCAGGGCCTGCACACTAGTGCCACCAGGACCCGTGTGTATCTGAATGCCCAAGCAGAAGGCTAGCTCCGGGTTGAGAGGAACTGAAGGATAGGGGACCCTGGGAGCGGGCAGAAGGCTCCTATCCAGCCCCCCAACAGGCTGTACAGAGGTTACCGAAACCAGCTGTCATTGAGCTCACCCCAAGTCATGGCAGCCCCATGTGTGTCAGAATAGAATTGTGCTCCATAGGTTTTTTTTTTTTAATACAATGATTTTCTTTCTGTTGTTGAGAATTACTCAGCAGAACATACACCCATTGGACAGTTTCTACAGGTACAATTCAGTGACCTTGAAGACAGTCTCCAAGTTTGCCTTCCCTTTCTGAGCTCTTGCCTCTGCATCAACATACACTCACTGCCCCCTAAGGTTCCCAGGTTTTTGTGTTTTTTTTTTTCTTTTTTCATCCCCAGCTAATCTTTTGTGTTGTCCATAGGGTGGTAGTTATGTGCTGTGGAGTCAGTTCCAACTCATAGCGACCCTGTATAGGGTTTCGGAGGCTGTAAATCTTCAGGGGATCAGAAAGCCTCATCTTTCTCCTGCAGAACAGCTGGTAGTTTTGAACTGCTGATCTTGAGGTTAGCAGCCCAACTCAAAACCACTGTGCTTCCAGAGCTCCTTGAGTTGCCCATACAGATAGATCTTAAAAGAGTACAATGCTCCTTACTTTTGTTTGGTTTTAAGAAAACTTCAGGCAATTCACAAAGTTTGCAGGGAATGATTTTTGGCAACAGATCACCAGACCTTTCTTCCAAGGCTCCTCTGGGTGGACATGAACACCTCTAACCTTTTGGTTAGCAGCCAAGTGCGTTCACTGTCTGTGCTACCCAGGGACACTTAACAGTTACGGACAAGTGGGTGTTATTCAAGAGCTGAGTCGTAACTCAGGAGCCCTGGTGGCACGAGACTGCAACCCCAAACCCACCAGTCAGTCACTCTGGGGGAGAAAAATGAGGCTGTCTGCTTCCATCAAGATTTATATTCTCAGAAACCCTAAGGAGCAGTTCAACTCTGTCCTACAGGCTCACTGAGTCAGCAGGGAGTTTAGTTTTAGGGGCTTGGTAGAGGGTGTAGGCCCCAAGTCTTCACTGAGTCAAAAGAGCACAGCATGCCACAGGACTTTGAGCAGCCCTAAGCCTTTCTGAGAGCTAACGCATTCCCTTCCTGGCAGATCCTGCTCACTCAAATCTCCTCCACCAGGGCGGATAGACTCTGAAGACCAGAGAAATGTGGAGAGTCACAGAGCCCGCCCGGCCATAGCACACACTCGTCAGCTGTGCAGTGTATGCCTCTGGCCACCAGCCTTGTTCCCCACAAACCACAACACGACCTACATTTTTTCTTGGTAAACTTTTTATTATGGTTTGGGTGAAAGCTTACGGTGCAAATTAGTTTTTCATTCAACAATCCATAGACTTTGTTTCTTGATATTGATTGCAGTCCCCACAATAGAGCGGCATTCTTCCAACTCTCATTCTGTGTTTACCATTTCTGTTCTTCCTTTGTTTCCTATTCCTTTCTGCCTTCTGAACCTTATCCCTGGACCAATGCTGTCCATTTGATCTTGTGTGGCTGACTGTTCTAAGGAAACTGGGTATCTCCCTAGGGCCTTGTTCATCTTACAGAACTATCTGTCCTTTGAATGAAAGTTGAGTCACGGGGGAGAGCTCAAATCAGGCTTGAAGGGTGACCAAGAGCCATAATCTCAGGGGTTCCGCCAGTCTCTATCAAACCTTCAGGCCTGGTTTTGTTTGTTTTTTTCCTACCTACCCTTGCCCCATCTGGAACTAGGCTCCCTCTTGAAAACCTGTAGGCCAGTTATTTCTTCCCTTTATAGCCCTCCCCCCTCCATTTTTGGTAGCCAATGTCTAAGTAGCCCATCCCTGTCAACCCTGTGTACCGAGGGGGTGGGAATGATCCTTGCTGTAAAGATTTGTTCTCTTTTTTGAGCGACTACATCCATACATATAAGTAAAGTTCATTAAATTGTAGTGGGTTACTCTTCCCCCCCTCCTTCCCTCTTCTTTCTTCTTCTAGTCAAGTTCTGATCATCCAGCCATCGAAGCCATGTCAAGTGGGTACTACCTGCAAGTATGGGTGTATGGGTGTTCTTCTATATCTCCCCTCACTTCACATCAGCTGGATGCTTCATTATTCGCTCTAGTCCTCTGTGGCCATGTCACTGTCTCTGGGCCCAGGAGTCCCCGGGTCTTGCTGTAGCTTCTGGCCATCCAGGTCTCCTCCCGGATTCACAGGACTCTATTGAATGTGGTCGGACTTAGATCCCAACTTCATTGTTGTTTTTACCCCCTCTTCCCTTTATCGGTGACCAACGTGGTCACCAGCCAGACCATATGCCTACTTGTGTATTCCCCTTGAGTCTTAGTCTTGGAAGGGAGTTTGCTCTGAGGGAACCTGACCCAACCACTTGCCTTGATGGCTCCCGGGTGAACAGCTTACTTGTTTTTGTAGCAATCAATCAGACTGCCATTATTGTTTCTGAGTTTTCCTGCTGGTCTTTCTTCACAAAGTATCTTCTGTTCTTCTAGCTGCCCCAGGCTGGTCTACTCGTCCATTCCAGAGTAAATTTCCCACCTCAGACAATTCTGGATGGGATTCTGATTTCCCCTATGGTCTTAGGCAATGCACAAGCTCCACACGAGGTCTCTTTCACTGGGCAATTTCTAGCCCCCTTTAAGGTATTCCAATCAGTTATAGGTTGAAGATAGGCTTTAACTTTCTATTGTGATGTTTCTGGCTATTCCCCCACCCCAACCCCCAAGTGTCTATTTCACAATGGTAGGCAAGGGAAACCAAGATTCAAAAGATAGCCAAGCGGGGAGCGACGACTGCACCGGTAAGCTGCTGCCGCCGCCGTCACTCCCGCCGCGCCCCCATGGCGGCCGCCAAGGATTCTCACGAGGATTGGGACACCACCGAAAACGTAGACGAGTCCAATCATGACCCCCAGTTTGAGCCGATAGTGGCCCTTCCTGAACAAGAAATTAAAACGCTGGAGGAAGATGAAGAGGAACTTCTTAAAATGCGGGCAAAGTTATACCGTTTTGCCTCAGAAAATGATCTCCCCGAGTGGAAGGAGAGAGGCACCGGCGACGTGAAGCTCCTGAGGCATAAGGAGAAGGGGAGCATCCGCCTTCTTATGCGTAGGGACAAGACACTGAAGATATGCGCCAACCACTACATTACACCACTGATGGAGCTAAAGCCGAATGCAGGCAGCCACCAAGCCTGGGTCTGGAACACCCACGCTGACTTCGCTGATGAGTGTCCCAAGCCAGAGCTGCTTGCCATCCGTTTCCTCAACGCTGAAAATGCACAGAAATTCAAAACAAAGTTTGAGGAGTGCAGGAAAGAGATAGAAGAGCGAGAAAAGAAAGGCTCGGGTAAAAATGACAATGCTGAAAAGGTGGCCGAGAAGCTAGAAGCTCTTTCGGTGAAGGAGGAGACTAGGGAGGCTCCAGGGACCAAGGTGGCTGATGGGGAAGACACCAAGGAGAAGACTAAAGAGAAGCAATAAATGGTCTTAATATTATTTTCTTTTCCCTTTTTCTAATTTCTTTTTCTTAATATTTTTTTATCCTATCTCTTCTTTTAGATT